TTGTTTACATTTATGTTTATGCCTATGCATGTTTGTGTAGGTGATTGTGTGCGTTGATAAGTGTGTCAACAACAGCAAACCAACTTGTGTTGCGTTCCGTTTTTTGTTTTTTTTTTCAAATTGTGTGCCTATTTTTGGGGTGTGCATTCAAGTTGTGCCGCTCTTGTTCATTTTTACATGCACACTTAAATAAGCAAATTGAATTCCCCTTTTTTTCTTCATTAAGTTTTTTTTTTGCTTTTCATATATGTTGAGGGAAAGGAAAGGGAAATTAGGGGAATCTTCATACGCCCCTCGCAAAAATAATAATTTTCTTCAACGTCAGCACTTGTAAAAATTTTTTGATTAGATTTTTTTTCCTTTATATTTGCTATTAAAATTTGTATATTTTTGACGTGTCAACACCGTCAAAATGAAATATTAACATAATTTTGGCATCATTTTCAAACGCAAATTGTTGTTGTTGCCGGAATTTCTTTTTTTTTTTTTTGCACAAATGTCTTAGGGTACTTAGTACGCACACATTAGGTACATTCACCAATATTTTAGAGTGTGGATCTTATGATGCATGTTAATAAGAACTTTACTTTACTCCTTGAGTGTAATTTGTTAGAGAAATTGTTTTGAAAAGCTCATTTTAAAATGAAATTACAATTTCTAAAAAATTAGGTTTTCCTTTTATTTAACATTTCCCAGAAAATGTCATTATTTTTGTATTATTATTTTTCATCGTTAATCTACTGGATAATTAACTAGATATAAGAGCAAAGTAGGATTCATAAAATATGATTGGTGTCCGAGCTGGGACCCTGAGACTAGCACTTCGCGATTCATATAACAACTTTTTCGCATTCACAAACGATTTGAACTATACAAAACTGCCATGAGAAGTATGGCATACTTGTACAAAACAGTCTTTGATTTTCCAAAGAACAGTCTAGAAAATCAGTAAACTTCAAAACTAGAAAATTTCTCCTTGAATTACAAAAAAAAAAAAAACGATCAACCCTAAAAAGGAATCTAGAAAAAAGTAGTGATAAATAGAAATAGTTACGTCGACCACATCGACATCATTGGGTATAGCAAACGTGATGTTAAAGCTGCGTTTAGTGACATCGAAAAAAAAACTGCTAAATTGTCTTAGCTGTGAATGAGGACAAAACGAAGTATATGTCGACTGCTGGTAGAAATATGATTCGATTGGATGTCAACTTGTGGGCCGGCAACTACACTTTCAATTATGTCATCTATTTTGGCACCATCGTAACAAAAAACGATGTTAGCCTGGAGATCAGAGCAAGAATACCATCGCTAATAGGTGCTACTTTAGGCTCATTAGATGATTGAGGTTATGTCAGCAGATAAAACTTGCGCTCTATAAGTCATTTAATCCATCTGTCTTTCTGTATGGTGAAAGTATTGATGTTATCATAGAAAAGCATTATCATAATAAAGCATCACTGGGAGTTTTTGAGAGAAAAGTTGCTCGTAAGATCTTTGGTCGAATACGTGTTGGCTACGATATGCTCGAGCTTTATGACGACATTAGTATAGTTTAAAAAATTAACAACACAAGATATTCTGTTCATTGTTGTTTCATTTATAATGGTATCAATAAGTTCAATAGTGAAACACCTAGTGAAGTTTAATTAACCAGCTGTTCTCTAAGGCGTTATTTTTAAGTTATTTACGTAGAACTTCTTACTTAATGGTTTGGAAGAGGAAATAATATTTATTTAAACAGATTCCATGAATAGTAAAGTGTATATTGAGATCATTGGAATTCTAAGACAAACGCAAAATAATATTATATCATTTCTTTACTACATTTGGAGCTTAAGGAGTTCACGAAAGCTTTCCACTAGTTTCTATTTTGTGTTATTGGTCTCAACTCGTTAAACGATTTGTCCGTCCCCTGCTGAACTGTTCAAGTACTCGAATTGTGGATATTAAGGAAAAAAATTTGATTTATTGAATTTGACTTACTGAAACATCAAATTCCAGGAATAAATGAAATTAAAAATTGATCAAAATTATAGAAGACAATTACAATTTAAAAAAAGAGATTAACGTTTTCGATGTGAAGTTAGTGATTGGCTTTCTAAAACTACAAACTGTACAGAACGCTTATAATTCACATTAAAACGACTAAAGTTTTTAATTAAAGTTAACGAAGAATTGTGATTTAAGTAACATTAATTTGAATTATGGAAGTTCGAATTATGAAGCTTAAAATTGTAAAAACTCGAATTATGGAAGTTATATTGTAGTAAGATTTTTCTTAAAATATTGCTTCGAAGTATTCATGAAAAAGCCCAATTGATTATTAAGTTTCATACGAATAAACAAAGAATGAATTAAACATTTTGAACAATTTCAAAATTTTTTATAAAAATAAATGCATTTCTGTGATTGGAACGCATTTACAATCTAAACTACTTAATTTCTAACAATACTGTATTTAGCGCATAATTGGTGACGGGTATATAAGCACGGTTGCTACTTATGGTACTTTAGTACCAAAATTGGTACTTTTTTTTCCGTTTGGTACCCTGGTACTCATGTTCAAAAAATGTTATATTTTCGGCGACCCAACTTTATTGTGGATATTGTATTGTTTTATACTTTTTGTACATTTTATATAAATTGTATTTTCTTATAAAAAGACAATAGAAAAATTTTGGACCTTTTTTTACAGAAATGGCACCTTTTTAAACCAATTTTGGTACAGAAAAAAATTTTCAAGTGGCAACCGTGTATATAAGTTAAACTTGTTTAAACTGTCAGTGTGAACAGAACGCAACGTTTTGATTTTTGTAGTATTTTGTTTTGCACTCAACATATTTCTTTAGCGGGACATCCGCATCTTTGGTAGATTGCAAAACACACTTACGATATAAAAGGCACCCGGTATTACCAATTAGCGACAGCAAGCTGTTAATCGGGCTGGCAGACAGAGGCTGCTAGACGCGGCAAAGACCGATACAAGTCTGTAATAGTAAACTAAGTAAGAAAGTAACAAACTTGTTAGACTTGTTAGAGTCTTAGGCATCTTAAAAAAAAAACAAAATAAAAATTTGTGTGTGAAATTAATGGAAAAATAATTTTCTTTTCCTTAAACCATTGTTTAACCACTATTCAGAGCAGATATTATTAAAAAAACCTTATACATGTTTTTAGAACCAAAAATGTTTGTTTATTATTAAAAAATAAAAGAAAAGAAAAATAAGAAAATAAAACACTAATATATTCTGATTGCAGATGTTAACAAAATATGTCATTTATGTTTCTTCCAAACACCCCCTCGCACTACGTTTACTTTAATTTGTGTTCGTTAACAAACAGTGTGAAATGCCATCACGTGCATATCATGCAAGGCGAATACTTACCAGCCACAACCCACAGCACCCATCTTCGCTGCCCATAAACATAATTGAAACATTAAATACGCAACTGCGCTACCTAACAGGAAAACTGTTATCGTCCACTGTGGCGGCAACACTTAGCCGAGTTGACGTAAAATCATTGCACAAGTTAACACTTTACGCTCAACACACTCAGCTGTTTATTTAACAAAATATATAAAGACAACAAAAGCAACGGCGCTGCGCTGGCCAGCACAAACTTATTGCAGGAGAAAGAGAAAAGTGAGAGTACACTAAGGTCGCTAGTAGAGTAACGTGAGGAAGGGAGAAGATTTAAAGTTTATTTGTTGTGTGAATTCTTATGAGTTTCATGCTGGCAGCCTTTACCACAGACAACAAAAAATGTGCCGAATTGAATTTCCAAACAGATGTCAAAAGCGCGGCATATGACTGAGTTGGATGTTGTGTTGAGCATGCGCTGCATGCAACAACAAAACATGGCTGCCAACATAAACACTTGAAAGCATGAATAAAACACCACACCAAAATGGAAATGTGAAACTGAACTAAAGGACTTGTGCTGTGTTGCGAATTGCTCTGTCTGTTGAAATCAGTTGCAGTTGATAGCTTCATGAACTCGCACTGTTCAGCGGAAAATGGGAATTTGTGCATATTCAACGGTTCAATTTTAGATGAAGGAATTGCACAGTTAGTGTGAGTGTGAAAGTAGCGACAAAGGCGAGAACATTGTGCGGAGAGCGCGTGAGAGTGAGAGAGTACATTAAGGATATTGTGTGATTGTGAAGAGAGAAAGAGAGAGAGGAGTTCGTTGCATATTTGTAATGTCAAGTGTAATGTCACAATTGTGTATGGCAGCGTGCTAATGACACAGCACAGTACAACGACCAAAGTCTGTTTGTGAAGACAAGTGTGTACGCGAAAAGCGGAAACGGAAAGAGCGCTTAAAGAGTACATTGCTTTCATTACGATTTTTTCATCAAAAACGGTTAAATTGTAATTCAAATTCAAGTGCAAATAAAACAGTTTTAATAAATCAACTGCATTAAATTTAAGGAAACTATTTCAACCGCAGTGGTCGCACTTTACTACCGTGTTGTCAACTTTTAATAAAAAAATAAAATTTAACAAAAAAAAAAAAGGTTAAAGCATTTAACAGATATAAAAAATTTTTTAATAGCTTTTTGACTATTTTAAAATTAAAATTAGATTAAAAATTAAATAAAAACTGTTTTTTAATAAGCAAAACTTTCACAAATATGAAAACTAATATAAAGTCAATAAAATAAATGTGAGAAATAAGTTGTATTTCAAATAGATTAAGTAATTTGAAAATTAAAATTAAATAATAAAATAAAAATATTAAAAAAAAAATTAAGCGATAAACAATTTCATTTGAATTGTGCCAACTATTAAGTCAACTATTAAAACCCGGAATTGTCAAATCACTTTGCCAAAATAAAGCATAAATTTACTAATTCATAAAGATGTGAGCAAGAATATTTTAATAATATAAAAGCACATAATAATAAAAATAAAATTTGAAAATATAATCAAAAAAAAAAGCCGGTATTATTTTAAATCAAAAAAAAAACGCGCGCTTTTATTGTAAGCAATTTTCCGTCGCCATCGTTTTTATAGACAACCCAACAGTATTCACAAAGTTTTATAAACTAAGCCAAACCGACTTACAATCGATGTAAAAACGACAAAAAAAAAAACAACGAAAACTTAGAAAATCTGAAGAAAATCAAAGATAAGTTTATAATAACAAACACGGAACCGGAACAAAACAAAAATCATGTGGATTATTTGCAATGTTTTTGTGATTCTGCTGCTTTCACATTTCGGTATGTAGTTTGTTTTAAGTTGAGAGTATCTCATGAATTTCGTAGTTATTTTCTTTGCACATTTTTAACTTTTCTATTGAGTTTGGGCTTAGAGGAGATAGTCCGTGTCCTCTGTGCCACACAGCACAGTTTATTGAGAGCAAATGTCTATGGAATGAGAAAAACATGTTTAGAATATTAAAGATGTTAAAAGCCGGTAGCACGCTTTTCTGACAGGATTTTCCTTTAGTATTCACAAATTCACAAAAAAAAAAAACAAAAAACAAATAAAACTTTTGTAAATTTTTGCGGTTTATAAGCTTTTAATATTTAATGACTTAAGTGAAAATAATGATATTGTTTACTTATAATCCTTGATTATTATTTAGAATTTATTTTAAATATTCTATTAACAATGTTTTAAAAATTGCCAAATTGCGTTTACTTTGAAACTCAACAGCTACTAGCCGCTTTCTTCCAGAAGAAAAATGTGCTTAATAAAGTATTTTGAGAGTTTGTCAGACTGTTTCTCCATAAGGATAAAGAATCTATTAAATTATCTAAATTCAAGGGAATAGCTATGGTTGTTTTCATTTTATATAAAGGATTCTTGCGACGATTTTGGCAGTAAAACGTCAAAGAATTTCAGCACTAAATTAAATAAAAAAGTAATGTTAATAGAATTTTTAAAATGACCAAATTAAATAAAAAAGAGTTATATGAATAGAAAGTTTAAAATTAAAAAATATTATTCGAGATTCTTTGTCATCTCGAAAAAATAGTATCGAGGTTATTGAAATTGAGGTTTTGTTAATTTATCTTGTATATGTATGTGTGTACAAGTCATTCTTTTATAAAAGAATTGGATTTTGACTTCATCAAATCAGATTTAGCTTTCTTTAAGACTACCTTTCTTTAAATTAAAAATACCCACATCTCAGAAAAAAGTTCTTAAATTTTATTCCTTGGAAGTACGGACTCATGAGGCTTTGAGAGTTTGCATTTTAGATTAATTTTGAGTTACCATATCTCTGGATCTGTTTTAAATAAAGATAATTGTTCGAGTATTATAGATATTACTGTGAAATTGTTTACGTATGAATTTTAATATCAAGCAAATATAATTTTGACTTCAAATCTTTTAAATCTGTGGTAATAATTACTTTATTGTAAATTTATTGCAAAGAAATAATTATTAGAAATGATTGCAGATTATGAGAATAAAAATTTAAATGAAGATGCAGTTCAACTTAAATTCTGCAAGATTCTATTAATATTCTACTAAGATTCTACTAAAATGCTACTAAAATTCTTCTATGATTCTACTAAAATTCTACTAAAATTGTACTAAAATATTACTATGATTCTACTAAAATCCTACAAAATTTCTACTATAATTCTATTACAATTCTACTATAACTATTAGTTTTTATCTTTTTTGTGGTTCTTCATATATTTTGTTAGTGCTTTAGATGTAAACTTAGGAGATTAATATTGTTTTTACATATCTAGTGTAATAAGAAGTAATAATATGTAATATTTTGTTTATATTTTGCAATATTTTTCAATTGAATTAAATGTTAATTTTTTTTAAATTTATTATTTGAAAGTGTACGAATTTAGAAATATTTTACATACTTATAACTTTTTTGTGAAGCATTTTTTAGGGAATACGGAGTTCTTGCTGTTAAGTTTTCAAGCTATTACCCCTATTTTAGTAATAATTCACTTAATTATTACGAACTCTCTAATTTTTTATTATAAACGCGATTATAATATTATAATCGTGTATAATAGTATTTTTTTGATGTATAAATATTTGAATTAATGGTTAAATTCCACTCTTATATTTAGAAAATGCATTTCATCTTGATGGCTATCAATATAATCTCAAGGATATAAACGTTGTACTAACTAATGATAATTTGGTGAAGTAATGTTGGGATTTTACGATGAAAGCAACAAAATTTCTCGGCTTGGATACATTTTTGTTAAAACTTCTGGTGATTTAGTGACATAGTAATTAAAACTCAATCCATTTTCATTGGATAGTTATTGGTCATGCTTATTTTTGCCGCAATTTCACGAAACATTGGGTATAAGGTTAGGTATTATACCTACAGTAGGTATTAGGTATTATATTCACAAAAAGATGTCGTCAATTTCAGCTTTATGTTATTATTCCTCTTGGTGCTTTACTTTGTTTGAATCAAAATAGTTTTCACTGAATATGATGGCATTTTATCCAGTTTTCATCACTCGTTTCAAAAATGGTTTCGGTTCTTTTCTGTTTCAAAAAAAAATTTCGAATGGGAATTTAGTCCAAGAAATTTTTTTCTGTTAGCTTATGAAAGACCCTAGGAACAAGTTTATTTTTGTCAATAGCTTTATATGAAAGGTGAATAACAGTGAAATGGTTAGTTTTTAGTTTCTTAGTAGTATTGTGAGGTCTCGAATGGCCGTTTCGGACTTTATTCAACTGAAATGAAATTATCGATAAAATTTTTGTTAATGTTTTTGTTAGTTAATGATGATGAAGTAACCTAATCATTAAGAACACATATTTTTTTCGAACCCATTGCTGTGTTTTATAATTTATTTAAGAAAGATGTCAAATATACAGCATTTTGTTTGGAATTTAATAATTATTGAAAAATCACTATGACAGATAGTTATTAGATGTTAGATGTTTTAGTTATTAGATAAAAGTTAAAACTTCTATAGCAGATAATAGTGTAAGATATAAAAAAAGGAAGCATAGTTTTTGCTTCATCAAATATTTAACATAAAATTAATCGCAAATATTTTATTCTCTTATTTGTTACCAAAAATTTTATATAATAATTTATTAACGGGCTAATTGGTCATTTGAATAATAATAAAAACTATAATTTATTATTTATATTTAAAAACAAATTACATTTTATTGAAATATTTTTCCGATATTTCGATTATCTTCGATGGTCATCTTTAGGATAGTCGATAGTCTTCGAAGATAATCGAAATATCTGAAAAATATTTTAATAAAATATAATTTGTTTTTAAATATAAATAATATATTATAGTTTTTTTAATCCTATTTAAATGACCAATTTTCCCTATAATAAATTATCATAAAATTAATCGCAAATCTTAACTTTTATATAAATATTAATATTCTCAATAATTTATTGTTTAATGATCAAATATTTTTTAATAATAATTTTGTTTTTTAAACAGGCTAAAAGGTCAAAAGTTGTATAATAAACTTTTTTAACAATAATTTGTTTTTTAAAAGATTTTATTTGAACCTTTTAAATAAAATAAATAAAATTGGAATAAAATCTTTTAAAAAACAAAAAAAAATTTTAATAGTGTATTATTTAACTATTCACCAATTAACCAATAACATTATCATTATTGCTTTATAAATATTCATTTAATATCGATGTTGTATTTTTCGAATAAATAAGCTATCACTATATCTAATATTTATTTGAAAATGCAATATATGCATGCAATTTTATTGTTATTTAAAATATAAACAATATTGCATTATTAACAAAAAGGACATTCGATTCTGTAGTGGCAATATTATCCCAGCTCATATTCATAAAAGCATTTATTTTCCCTTTTGTATGAAAATATCCTTTATTTGCGTTTAAATTTATCCTTTATGTGTAAATACATTCCGAGAATTTTCTCGCATTTTATTCAGATTTTCTTCGGTTTTGTTGTTACAGTAGTAGTAGTAGTTGTTGTTGTTGTTGATTTGATACGAAAAAGAAAAAAAATCCGATTACAGACATTATATTAAATATTTTGCTGTAATTGAATTATTAGCTTTCATCATGGAAGGTATCCGTTTACAATTCCATTAGATTGAAACTTAAGTAGAAAATTAAGTGCTCTCGGAAAAAGGGTGCACGCCTCTCAACTTAAATCAAAACTGAATTATTTTACACCCCACATACTTATATTCATATGAAAATTATGCAAATTTTATGTTTTAAGTGGCAAAGATACTCTGAATATGAATTATCTTTTATGGTGGCGTAAAAAAGGAAATAATCCCACATTATTACCAGCAATTTATATGCAAAAGAAACTATAAACCGGGGTTTGTACGCCATTTAAGAATTTGTCACCATAAAAGTCTTCTTCGTTCTTTTTGTTTCGTTAAAAATTCTTTTATTTAAGAATATTTATTTATGAACATTTATATATGAACATTTATTTATGGTAAATATGAAATGAGTATACATATTTTGCTTATAGAAACTATTTTAATGGCCAATGATTATACGAATTTAATTTTGAGTATTAAAACGTTATTATGTTAATTGAAAAGATAAAAGGAATTAATTATGTCAAGACAGATTTTATATTACTTGAAGCAAAAATTTGAATAGAAAAAGAATATTTATATATGTGTTATATGTTACAAAAATTAGTGAATATTTAGAGAAAATAGTACACTCTTTAATAATGCTTACTATTTTTAAATATTTTAATATTAATAAAGCAGTTTAAAGTTTATACAGCAACTTTTGTTAATTGGAAATAATTAACATTCAATGAAAATTATAAGATCGAATACAAAAGTCATATTATTTACTCTCTGTGAATAAAGTATTAGCATCAGTTATTAACTATAAATTGTTAAAAATTACATTTTATATATTAGATACGAAACAAAAGTCACTTGATGCTTCATTTAAAAAACTGTTAATGTTTCGAAAATGGTTCATACAAATTGCTAAAGATATATGAGTTCTGAGTTCATTAATCAGTACACTTATCAAATAAATGTAATAAAATTTTTAGTTTCATTACGTTTTTTTACTAAGATAAGTTCGCAAATTGTAATTGTTTAAAATAAAATTTTAGGAGAAATTTAGGTCACTTCTACAAAAAGACCTAGAAAATATACCAATTATGTTGCCTTTCGAATGAAAGTCAGAGTGTGAGCCGTTGAGGACATGCTAATTTTGAAAGAGAATAAGTACTTCCTCTATACTTGTTTATTCAAAAATTGAATA